CATCTCCACCAAGCCCACCACCTATGTCATTATGACCACTTATTTCTATGTCAGTGTCATTATCTCCCAAATCTTCAATTCTCTAGTTCATGTTGATCACCATTCAAATCATGGATTTCTAAATCTATTCTATTTCATGGCTTTCTATATTTTTAATTGCCACTTCATTTCCACCATTTATATCTTCGTTTATAGCACTTATTGCTCCATTTTCAAGAACATTCAACCAATGGTGTAACCAGATCACTTTCTTCAATTGTCCACTTATCGATCATTTGTAGTTCTTCAAACAAATTGAACTGTGAAGATATACTGTCTGCAAGTTATACATGAAAAAATCAAATCATTCATCTTTGTTTGATGCAAACAGTTTATTCTTTTTGTTTGAATCCATAGAGATGAACTTTTTATAAAAATACTAAATAAACAGATATATATTAAGGAAAATTTACTTGTTCATAAACAAACATATCATAAAGTTTAGTTATTGCCATTTCAAATGAACTCAAGTTATGCGTGCAACCAGAAGAAATACATGTAAAACTCAATATTTGAATTGCAAATTTCTGCAATTCAGGGCATTACTGTTAAACTCAATGTCCTAGTCACCTTTGGAGCTTCAATACCAAATAAACCTTTTGCATCCTTGAAAGGTTCAGTTGCATATCTATCTTGCATCTGTCAGTTGGATCTGATACCATTCCCTGAATATAATTATATAGTCCAATCTTAATGTCTGCATCTACCTTGAAATTAGGAGCATAATGGTAATGGGATTCAAGCAGTAAATTGCTGCATGCCTATGTATATCTAATTGGAGCTCCATCTTTCATCAATGATTTTCTATGTAGGCTCATAGCTGGGAAAAAATGTATTAGCAAAAAGTTGACGGCACATAAAAAAAAAAAAAGTAAGAAAGTTTGTTAGAAAATATAAGAGTACGAATTTATTTTCTTTACATTCATCAAAATTGGTTTGCATATTCTCTTTTGCACAATTCATCTGATATCCACAATATGTTTACAATATTTATTACTGTTTACTTGAGAGGCCAAGTTAGTATTCGATTTTATGCTCTGTGGCAATTAATGGTGCAAATTATAGTTGACGAGCCCCTGGGCTGCTTGTGCACAAAAATGTGGCACGAACTTGGTGCTTTCTTGAGTGGTACACATGACTAGGGGTCACATGACTATGGTTGTTTATATATTGACCAACCACAAAACTGCAAAGAAATTAATCAAACTGAACTGTAATTATGGTTTTCAAACAATGGTGGTTAGGTTCAATTTGAATAAATGTGAAAACTGAATAGTTAGTTTACTTTATGGTTTTACCTTCAAAACGACTTAAACTGAACTGAAATGAACAATTATAGCTCTATATAATATTTCGCGTATGAACAAGAGGTTTTCTAAAAAAAAGAATTTCATATTTAAGGATTTTACGTTGATTATTAATAATTCCATTGGTGCTTAAAGTCTGTTAATTGATTTTTTTTTTTTTTTTTTTTTAAATTGTAACTGCAAAGAAGATTAATCCAAACTGAACTTTAATTATGTTTTTTCAAACAATGCGTGTTTAGTTCAATTTGAATAAATTGTGAAAACTGCATTAATACGTTGAGTAATTTATCATTATGTTAATCATTTACCTTCAGAAACGACTTAAAGCTGAACTGAATCATGAAACAATTAAGTCTACTCATATAACTATTTCGCGTATGAACAAGAGCGTATTTCTAAACAAAAAGCAATTTCCATATTTAAGCGATTTTACGTTGATTATTCAATAATTCCATTGTGCTTAAAGAGTCTGTTTAATTGATTTTTTTTTTTTTTTTTTTTTTTAAAATTTGTAAGGTCCCCAGGTTTAAATATAAAAGCGAAAATAATGCAATTAAATTTAGGGCCGCCCATCATGTAAAGCCCAAACTATCCAAATTGTTGAAAACTGGCAAAAGCCAAATTAAATTAGGCGCTTGTAAGTAAGCCAATGTTGGTTGTGAGTTTTTTTTTTTTTTTTTTTTTTTAAATTGTAAGTCCAGTTTAAAATATAAAGAAAATAATGAATTAAATTTAGGCCCATCAGTAAAGCCCAAACTATCCAAATTGTTGAAACTGGCAAAAGCAAATTAAATTAGGGCTGTAAGTAAGCCAAGTTGGTTGTGAGATACTTGAAGCTTGTTTTGTTTAAGTTCGTCTCATTAAGCTTATTCAATAAGCTTATTGAGCTCAGTTTAAGCTTGCTTATCAAGCTCGTTTAATAAACAAGCTGATCCATGAACTCAAGTTGGAGTTTGTGAAGGAATATTTTTTTTTTTAAATTATAAATTGTAAACAAGTTGAGCTTCAACTTGGTTTTTGTAGCTCGAATATAACTCAAGCTGAGTTTGAGTAGATTTTTATCTAGCTGAACTTGAGCAAGACAGACTTGGTTTGGCTTGTTTACCTTCCTGAACCAACCATTCCTTGATACACACACACGCGCGCGCGCATGTTTTCGATGGTTTTGCTTTCGATGGTATGATCCAGATTTTTATGCTTTTGTTCAGCTTTGAGTTCTCAAACCAAATTGGTTGATTTGTTTTGAATTCATGCACTAGACTGCCTCAAATCAAACTGCGTATACCTCTATCCATGACAGTCTGACGTGGAATTGAAGGAGGTATGTATAACCATGACAGTATAGACAAAATAACTGAAGAGTGCTTTTAATTCTGGATCATACCAGCTGTTCACCTTGGAACTGTTTGTATGTCTGGTCTGGTTTACTTTCACTAGTTGATTATGTCTAGCTGGATTAAAATGTTAAACTGGGTAAACAAGACGACCTTATGAAATCTGATTTTCATCTCTAATACTTCGTTTTGATTTTGGACAATCCTCTACCTCTATTTCCTTGCTACTATTGATTATTTTTCTTTATTTGTTTTGCTCATCATTCATTTTCTTCACCATTTTGGTGTTTGATGAGGAAATAAAAGGCTAAATGAACAACTTTTGCAATGAATGTTCAAAGGGAATGAGTTACTGGATGAGAGATTCAAGAAGGCGAATACAGATAAGAGATTATGGTAGTTTCATTTGGTACATTGAGTAGCAAGAGAAATAGAAGATGAAAAAACATACTTGGAGAAGAGGAAATTATACTCTAATACAACCAGATTAAATCTGTTGCCTCCTCTTCTGATGCATGCTATAGAGAGTTTTATTTTTATACAAATTCCAAAGAATCAAAAACCAATTAGAAGTCTTGCGTGTGAGCTATCTGCACAAATTGTCTTTGTTGCCTTCAATGTCAAAATATATCTAATTAGCTTTTGCTTTTAAGGCAGTAAAACTGGGGAAGTAGAAAGCAACATATTGACATTTATTAGACAAAAGTGAAAGAGAGGTTATGTACTCATTCTATGGAAGAATAAATTGAATCCTGTTTATTTAAATTAGGAAAACTTTATGATATAATGTACTGCTTACCAATAATTTGGTAAAGATGTAATTGGATTGACAGAGTATTTTACAATGGAAGAAATAATATTGAAAAAAAAAAAAAGCAAGAAAGTTCCATTGCTGAAACCCGTTCAACTTCTAGTGTTAGTTTTGGAATACTGGTTGCAAGTTTCAACTAGTGTGAGTAATAAAGTTGAAACCTCTGATTATAGTTATATAAGAGGTACCTGTGTTGAGAAGACATAGCATGAAGTTGGTACTTTGCTAACAAGTACACATGACTGTGTAACATGAGAACTGTAAAGAGCATGTATTAGCCAAAGGAAATGAAATTTGAACGTGTAGATCCAATGCAGATATTAAACTGAAAACCTCTGATGCTACTTCTGACTTAGCCGCTGTATTGTGCACCAAATTTGATGAGAAATGATTAAGTCATTTCAAATAGTGCTTTAAATAGGATGTCATGATTTCTTTCCTGGTATCTTTCATGATGTTAAATATGTCGTCACTATTGATTTTGCTACCAGCCTTAGTTTGCTAATATTCTTGTCATTAATTTCTGGGTTTTGTTTTCCTACTCCTTGGTTTTCTCATATGTTCCAATGCTTGGGTTTAATTTAATAGGCTGAATATGTTTATTAGAAAATTCAGTTTGGGGAATTATTGGAAAATTCTGTTTGAACTTGATATTTAATTACTTTTTCGTTTCACGTACACTGGATGCTTTAATTTTATTTTGTGGTGGAATTTGATGGTATTAGGTCTTAAGTTATCCATTAAAAAGGCCAATCCTTAAATCTGTTTTTGGTATGGTGAGTTATACTCAGAAACTGGTTTATATAATTACAAATTTCTATTGCATTTGTATTCCATAAATACTACAAAAGATTAATATGTATTAATAATTATTGATGTGATTACTGGTATATATTACCCATTATACATACATGATACAAATGCTAAAAAATGAAGGATTCAGAGTGGACCTATCACAGTGCTAAAAAATGTGTTGCAAGACTTTGCTATAATCTGTGAGCTTTTCCCGTTTTCCTTTTTCGGTCAAAGTAATTCTAAGACAGGATGTAATTGCGACTTTGCAAGAGAGTTTAGATAGTCTGATTTGAGTTGAATTTTGCTTAGTTGCAGTTTTTATTCAAAATTTTTGCAGGGGTGGGATCTGAAAATGATCTGGATTTCTGATGGTTTTCTTCAAGTGTAGTACATGGTGGAAATTTTGGTAGTTCTATCAAATACCATAATTTAGTTACTTAGCTCAGTCCACCAATCTCTAATTTTACAATAGATTTCGATTCTCGATTTGACAACTATGGATTTCACTAATTACATTTGTCTGGTTTGTGTTGCATGAACCTGAAATGCTGTTATATGTTATTTCTGCAAATTAATAAAAGGACAACTAGTTTTTAAGGGAAATAAGATTGAATTTCGATACCATGTTAGCCTATTTCTAAAAGCCTCTCTTTCTACCATAATTCTTCCTTTTTGCCTGGTATCATAATTTCTGGTGATGCTTCATATTATCAGATAACACAAACCATGCAAGTACCAATCTCTTATGCCGAGGAAATCATTGGGATTGGAGGGAATAATATTGCATATATTCGTCGCACTAGTGGAGCCATAATAACTGTGCAAGAAAGCAGAGGATCACCTGATGAGATAACAGTGGAGATCAAAGGTACACCCTCACAGGTTCAGATGGCTCAACAACTAATTCAGGTAACCCTTTTTCACCAACACTTTTCCTGAAGTTTCGAAAATTTATTTGAAAATTAAGCATGCATATGAGATAGACATCTCAAAAATAGGGCCTCGTTCCAATATTATTAATATGCATGAAAATGAACAAAAAAATTTTAAAACTTCTTGTTGTCCTAGAAGCAATGGGATTGGATCATATATATTGTGGGAGTGGGCCCCTGAAGCCTTTTAAGAGTATGATCTTTCTTAGCCTAATATATAAATTTGACCCTAAACTTTGGCAGATTTTCGTTGTGCCCCCTAAAACTTTGTGGGAGTTCAAACGCAAACTAGCCACTTCTCTTTTTACTAGTAGCATGTTGGGCAGTATGTCTTTGTCCAAGCTGGTCATGACCTGCTGTTTTACATTTCACTGGTAACTATGCTTTTTGCCAAAAGAAATGCGAAAGTGCAGGGTCTTGATTGAAACCCTACAAAGTTATTTTATTTTGACAAGAGGTATGGTTATTTCTAAAATGTGAAAATGCAAAGTCATCCGCAAACTTCAAGGGGTTACAAGAATAATCGGTGAAAGTATAGAGTCAAATTTATGCTTTAGGCTGATTTTTTTTACATTCATTAGATCATGATTTTTTTGAAAAAATGCAACCATTGCTTGGTGCCGGATAGGCTTTGGCTATATGCTTCGTGGAATATTGCAATACATTTTCTGCTGTTTGTGCAGGACTTCCTAAGCAATCACAAAGACCCAGTCACAAGCAACTATGGCAAGTATGACGGAGGACTAAGATCTATGTACTCTCCCTTAAATAATAGTATGCTTTATTCTTCGTCTTCATTGTCTGGGCAATCCTATGATGGATATGGATCTTCTGGTCTTGGAGGCTATAGTAATTTTAGACTTTGAGAACAGTAAGCGAGAAGATGGCAGTGTTTTTTAGGAAATAATTCTAGGAATATGATATCTAATCACCCTTTTTTTTTTTCAAAAAAAAAAAAAAAAAACAAAAAAAAAAAAAAGGTTCGAAAAATGCTCTTGGAATTTATCGAATTGTAAAAATCATTGAGAAAATAGGTGATTCCCTTGCTCATCTGAATAGGATGATTTTTTTTTCAAAAAAAAAAAAAAAAAAGGTTCGAAAAATGCTCTTGGAATTTATCGAATGTAAAAATCATTGAGAAATAGGTGATCCCTTGCTCATCTGATAGGATGACTTGATAGTCGGTTGTTTTTCAAAATCCAACCAAATAGGTGTAATTTATTGGATTTGTCTTTGCATGTGTCCTGATGGATGTTGCTCTCATTTCATTCCTTCCAGATTTCTTTTTTAAAACTATGATTGATGCAGTGGTTAAGAGTATTTTTAGTTTAATTTGTTTAATAAACTTTACTCCTTGATTGCTTGGATTTATTAATAATTATTGAAATCATGAATATGAAAACTCCGGAAGTGATTTCAAATTTCATAGATCTTGAATCTACTCTTGAACATGGCTTTTTCATATTTATGAAGCCATTGAAAACCTATTCATAGACTGTTTGATAGTCATAAAATTTATTTACAAATCCACAATTTTATAATGTAAATGATATTTCATTGTTCAAAAAAAAAAAAAAAATTCATTGATTTATATTTTTAATTTTATGGAATTGGTTGTTTTTAAATGAAATTTAATTAATATTGATAGTGTTTATAACATTTTCATGAAAATCGTAGTACATGTTAGTAAAGCTAAATGTTTGAGACAAATTTAAAATAATTAGAAAATGTAAAAACTGCATTTACAAATGGATTTTTTAGGGAGGAATTTCACTGAATTTTACATTTACAAATAAGAAATGTAAATGAATTTCTTACGGATAAAATTCTCTGTTAGTATAGTTTATCTTATTTTCTTTATAGCCAACAAAGCCTGGGTGTATCACTTAGGTATCAAATAGGTGAATTGAGTGTGTAGAGGTTGCAGCAAAAGAAGAAAAGGTCAAGTGGAGATGATGCTCCAACCGATGTTTTTAAAGGCATGAGCTTGGATCAAGTCCATCCTTTAAGGCAATAAGGTGAGACAAGACATTAATAGGCACAAATCACTCAAGCCTTGGCTAGATTGACTCCTCGAATACCATGAGGTTGCAAGGCACAAGGATGAGTTGTTGGAAATTATGATAATGAGCTTGATGTTGAAGATGGCATGGATGAGTTGCCTAAACAAGGGAGGTCAAACAAATTTAATGGAGGAATCAAGATGAAAATCCTATTGTGACATCCAGATCCGGTTTTGTAAAATAGGATCTTAAGAGCCACATTAGATGTAACACCAAAATATTAAACCGACATGTTTAATAGTTAACAATTTAAAAACATTTCTTTTAGTTTTACAAAATTGACTTAGAAAATTTTTCTTTTAGTTTTACAAAATTGACTTAGAAAATTTTTCGGAGAAATCCTATAGAAAAATTGCAAGAGTTTTCCTCTATATTCAGTATCACAAAAATATAGAAAAATATTTGAAACACTTTTATAATCCGTCCACACCTCAACTACATTTTCAAATTATTTTCTCAATACAACTTTACATTCTCAACCCATCATCCAACATATCTCATAAAAACTCAATACATAATAAATTACTAAAACGCCTTTATGGCACTGTAATTCACCAGAATTATAATTAATTCATATTAATGCATGATGAGACTCAAAAGATTTAATGCATGTTAATGACATTAGAAAATGTGGATGTGACACCTACATTTAAAGGGACTAGCTCTTTAAAAGAGTACTTAAAATAGGTGTAACCTGTGGATAAAATCTTTGAATGCTAAGGTTATATTGAAGCTAAAAAGTTTAAATTGGCTATAATTTGAGAACATAGACTATGCAAATCTATGGTGGGAGAATGTTGGAGCTAAACATAGAAAGGATGGTTTTGAGGAGGTTATCTTTTGGCGTGAGATGAAGCGATTAATGGAAAGACGTTATGTACTTGAATAATATAGGCACTAGCTGTACATCAAGCTTCAAATCTTCAAACAAGGCAACATGCATTGAAGACTATGCAAAAGAGTTTCAGATGTTTATGATGAGATGTATTGGTGTGTGAACCACAAGAGCAACCCATTGCTTGTTTTTTTAGGTTCGCTTAATTATGAAATTACAAACGTTGTCGAGTTGTAAAATTGTATGTTCTTAGAGGATGTGATCAAACTTGCAATTAAGGTGGAGAGAAAACAAAAGTGGAAGTTTCCAATTCAATATGTCAAAACAACCAACACCAATAACACTTTACCTAGTTCCAATGCAATGGGAAGTGTAAAGCCATTAGAAAAAGTGACATAGTTACATCCATCCCATACTGGCCATCCAAGAGTAAAGAAAGGTGAGAGAATTCACTCCTCCCAAAAGGCATAGGAAGATCAAGTGCTTTAAAGGCCTTGTCAAGGAAATATTGCTTTTCAATTTGCAAATAAAAGAGCCATAGTGTTAAGGAAGCTACAAGAAGAGCAATAGAGTGAGGATGAGTATGAGGAAGAGGAGTTGTAAAGAGAAATATAGAAGAGGTGGAGTACATTGATATAAAGGAGAGGTGGAGTATGTTGATATAAGCGAGATATTGGGGAGTTAGACGTGCTTGGAGTACAATAGCCCAGAATGATGAGGAACAACGTGAGAACATTTGCCATTCTCTATAGGAAAACCATATAAAGATAATGTGGTTTGTGATGAGTATCTATGAGTTTAGCCATTTATTGTTTGGGAGGCCTTGGCAAGATGATAGAAAGGCTAGTGATGATGAGTTCAAAAACACCTATTCTTTTTGTGAAGGATAGTTAGAAGATAGTGTTGGCATCCTTGAACTAATAATAAGTGCAATAAGATTAGATTTCAATGTCGTGATCCAAAACTATTGGTCAGACAAGTATTAAGACTTAGGTAAGCTTAAGGCCCCAAGCCCATAGTAAGCTTTAACAACAAATTAACCCAAAATAAAGTCTAATTATTATTCATGAACAAAGCACCAAACCTTGAGAGCTATTGTTTTCACCATGGAACTTTGAAGCCACACGCTTGCACCACTAGACTTTCAAACCCCTCGTCCTAGGGTATAACCACTGAAACTCGACCTTTGTCAATTAAGCCCAGTCTGTCCGACACCTTATAAAACTGTCAGGCCCGGTCCATCCAGCATATAGCATGCTTTAAAATTCGGCTCGTCCGACAAAACTGACAAACAAATTTTCAACCAAAAGCCCGGTCCGTCTGGCACCTTAAGCCAGCTCGTCCGGCACTCTATAAGCCCACTTCCCGAGTAGCACCTTCAAAAACCTACCATCCTAACACTCGCACCACCCAGCTTTCAAACCCCTCATCATAGGGTATAACCACTCAAACTTGACTTTCGTCAATTAAGCCCAGGCTGTCCGACACCTTATAAAGTTGTCAAGCTCAATCCATCCAACATACAACATGCTTTAAAGCCCGGTCTGTCCGGCAAAACTGACAAAACCAGTTTTCAACCAAAAACCCAGTTCGTTCGGCATCTTATAAGCCCACTCCTCGAGTGGCACCTTCAAAACTCTACCATCCTAATCGATGGCAAAATTTCATGCGCCCTGATCCTCATACAAACGAGGTATGAAAGCATATCTACGGATTTCAACCTAGGTAGCAGGTCCTCGACTGAACTAACCGGTCAAGATTTAGGGAAATGTATTGCATGACCTAGAATCCTCGATAAACAAAGCTAGAGTCAGGCTTCCTTCCAAATTACACCATTTATTCATTTATTACTTTTAATGTGTTATATTTATAATATTGTCATGCATTATTAGTATGCTCATGCATCGATAATACTGTCTTCCACGCAAATAACATTCTAATTTCTCAATTAAAACCCAAATCATTGATTTATTTCGAAAGAAGCTAAAAACCTAGTCTCAGAACCCAATGATTTCAGGCTAGTGCATTTTATTCTAAAAGGCAAAACTGAAAATGGAGTCCATCACGAGATTTTTTTCCTTAAATCTTTTTTTCAAAAATAAAAATAAATTAAGGTGATGACTCTAACACATCACACACAGTCAAAGCGCGACAAAAAGCCAACTCAACATCACATAAGCGCTAAACCGAGCCATAATTCAACAACAAAAAGAAACTGTAAGGAGTTCCTCCCAGTTTCTGTGATGAACTAACCAATTGGCCCGACTGGATTGAACTTCGTTCTTCGGATATCTTTCCCTCAGTGCTCGGTTGGGAGCGCAGAGGTATGAATATCGATTCATTAGATCCATAAATGCTTTTGGGGCATTTGTGAGTCCAAAGGACATTACTAATACTCACCTTGATTGGCAAAAGAAAGAGCACTGATCCTTTATTTGATCTTGGAGCACTGAGGAGAGACTGAGATGATCTAAAATAATAATAGAGTTAGGGAAAGTTATTATCAGAATCTAAACTGTATTACTTAATTTAGAATTTATTATTTATCAAGCTATGAAAATTCTATCATAAATTTGATAGGGTTTCCGTAAAATCAGGATTTAACTACCTGTGAAGACATTATTAAAATCAACAATTAACTCATATTTCCCATCCGTCAAGCAAATCTCACCAAAACATTCCCAACTACCACAGGCATTACTCATTCATCTCAATATTCACACAATTCATAAAAAATACTAATTAACATTCAATTCTTAGTTCATCAAGAATATTATATAATCACATTACAAACAAAAATAAATAAATAAAATTCCTTCTTCTGGCATATTTGATATAACTTAACTAGCTAGCAAGTTACTTGCTACTAAGTTCATAATAAACATTTTCATAATATAAACTTAAAATAACTAAATTAAAGGTTCTTCATTTATAGAACTAAATTTCTTCTAACCTTAAATTATACTAACAATCAACTTCTACGACCTAAAAAATGCTAATTACTCCATTATCTACCTAGTCAAGCCTTCAAAAGATCATATAACTCTCGTTAAATCAAATTTCTGTAAC